ACCTTGGGCCGGCACTTATGAGGCAAGTGGTGGAATCACTGAGCTAAATCCCTGGCCCTAAAGATTTTTTTTCCTAAATCCCCAGCCCTCTCTTTTACCAGTTTTAAAAATTCTTTGCAAAACTGAAACTGAAAATTAGAATTCATCCCAAAATCAAAACATCAAATGTCTCTAAAATAATGGGAAATAATTTTTCACTTTTCTAAGCACAGTCCACTATATTAGGTACAATATTAGAGTCATAATATGAATCCTGATTAAATATAAATTACTGAATGAGCATAATAAAAATAGCTATTTCCCTAATTTCAGAACACTTTTCATTCCTGAGCTGACCTTTGAGAGTGTGATTCCTTGGTTTTTAAATTTATAATTATTTCATAAGTATTGTCATAATTTTCTTAAAGAGTTGCATGTATCAATGGTCTGGTATATAGAATTGACACAAGAAACATTTAATCAACAAAATTAGCAACTGATCATCCTTCTTAGTCATACTAGTGTTTACAAATCATTCAGTTTAAATAAATGGCATAACCCTTATTTGGTCAGATCTGAAATTCTAATAATGCTCTTCAAATCAAATAATGAGGACAATAATATAAATTCCTAAGTCATGAAAAACAAGAAATAGCTGTGCCCAACTATTCTTTTTATTCTTACCAACTGTAAGATTAGGCAGTGCATAATTTCTCACATTGGCATAAACAATCTGAACCTAAAAAGGACCATCTCTCAGATTCTTTTGGGAAGAAAACAGGTACAAATTATTTAATATTCAAGTAATTCCTTGAAAGCTGCAAAAATAAAAATAGAAAAAAAGTGTTAATTGTCAACAAAGCAGCTGAAAGAACAAGTAAAGTTGATATGATCACATTTGAGAGCCATTAGCTTTACATGTAATCAAACATTAATTCTTACCAGAAAATACACATTATCTTTTGGGGAGAAACAGAGGATTACTATATTTCATCTTCTCAATCATATAAACATTTTCGAAAGCCATCTGCATCACAAATTGGCATCTATTGCCCCTGTGTTCATAAAACCAACTTTGCAGTAATAACTCATCCAACATAGCTTTTGAAGAATAATATGTCAATACTTCTACAATTTAGTTAGTGGCTAGTGGAGAGGGGACTGGTGGGCAGATGTAGAGAATGCAGAATTCATTGTTTCCCTTTCCTTCCTGCTCCTTTATCTCTAACTAAAATTTACTGTACTGTTCTATATTCTGTTGTCCATCTGCTGGGTCAAGGAAGGGCTTACAGTTAGCTTATAGTGAGTAAGGGTCAACAGATGGTATCTAGATGTCATCTCCTTTAGGATCAGGTCTTAGCTGAGAATAGAGATAGGGAGTTACACCTCCATGTCTGCCACAGTAATGCAAAACAACCCAATGGAATTGACCCCAGGACTGCAAGATTGGCTCCACATTCTGACTAATCTAGTTCACTAACAGAATAAAAAAGAAAAAACATATGATCATTTGAGTGGATTAAAAATCTACACAAAAGTTCAAAATTCAATAATGATGAAAACTCAGGAATTTCAGAACAGAAAAAGATTGCTTCAATCTGATAAAGGCCATCTGTGGAAAGCCCACAGTAACATCACACTCAGATGTGAAGAACTGAATTCTTTTCTCCTAAGATGGAAAATACAGCTACTTTTACCACTTCAAATGAATATAATAGTGGTGAGTGTAGCCTGTGTAGTAAGGCAGGTAAATTGTAGTTCTGAAACTATCTTGCCACATACTATTAGGCAATACTATTCAATACTCAAACCTCAGATTCTTTTCTCTAAATCCTAATGAGGAAACCACACTTTACTGTCCCTACATGGCGTGTGCTTCATAATGAGAACCCAGACTCCTTGGGGTAAGGAATGTGTCTTTCTGGGCTGTGGCTAAATTGTCCAGGTTGCTGGCTCATTGCTCTTGAAATTTTAGCCAGGTGCTAAGATGTGAAGACAAGGGTGCAAAGAGATCAAGCATCCATTAATATAACACCTCTTTTTGGATACAAAAAATGGAGTTACTGATGCATTTTAAAATTGATTCCAAGTTTATCATGTTTGTTTGCAAAATTGTCATTGCTATGGTGAAAAAATACTCAACTCAGTACTTCATTTTGGACAGTAAATTGCTAGGTGTCAAACTATGTAAATCCAGAGATTTTTGGAGAACTTCCATAGGACAGTTGGTGGCTCATGCTGCAGCTCAAGGCTTGAATCTTCCAGAACTCACTGCCTTTCAGAAGATGGACCCACTAATCCTGCTTGAGGGAAAAAAAAAAATTCAGGTCATAGCTTGGGCCGGACTGTTTACAGGGTGCCAATTCCTGAAGATTCATTTTCTGCAGTGTCTCTCTTACTGGCGTCGTTTCCTTCTTTCTCCTCCCAGTGCCTCTCTGCTGCCTTTGGCTTTCATTTGTTCATTAGCTCTTGCTCACTTTGGTTTGACTGAGGTCAACAGAAGTTCACTGTTCTACCCGGAAGAGGAACGAAAGTATCCTGCCCCAGCTCTTCATACTGAGCTCCACAGCTGCCTTTCTCAGGACCCTTCCCAGTTCTGCTACTACCACCAGCTCCTTTTCATCTCTAAAGTCTGGAGAAAGTCCTCCTAGCAACTGATATGCTATTGATTTGGGTGCTTACAACTAAAAATTATAACAGTAAGATGCTTCTGTTTCCAACTATACAAAAAGTAATTTTTTGTTTTGTTTTTTGTTTTTTGGGTACCGAGGATCAAACTCAGGACCTAGCATTTGCAAGGCAGTTGCAGCACCACTGAGCTTAATCCCGGGAAGAAAGTAATACTTTTTAAAATTCCCTCTTTGTCTCTTCCCCCACTCACCCCACTTTGCTCTCTCTCCCTCTCTGTCATGTTAAAGACCAAACATAGGGCCTTGCACAAGCTACTCAACCATTCCACCAATGAGCTACATCACCAACCCAATATTTTTCTTGATTAGGGAGAGGAAAAGAATTTATGTTTTGGATCTTATTCATCAAGAAACCCTGTAGAACTCTGGGTCCTCTACTGTCAACTCACTTGCCCCTTTGGACACTCATCCCTGCTTGGTAAATCTGCATGTACTTGGTCAAGGTGTGCTGAAAGCCTGCAACTATTTTCTGAGTCCATACAGTAGTGACAGGAATGGATAACCAATGTTTTTCAACTATGACCATTTAGCTTTTATTTAGTGGTTGTCACTTCAACCTACCCAAGAGACACAGAATAGAGCTTTAGGGTGATATTCACCAGCAGGAGAAAAAAAGAAAAAAGAAATTACAGGAAGACACACCACTTGGGAGAGAGGCTTTGAAGACAGGAATATGATTCTGAATCTCAATGCTTCCTAGATATGAGATGTTGGGCAGTTTACCTAAACCCCAAGCCTTGGGCCCTTCCTCACTTGTGGGCCCTGGATGTTATCACTATATCTCCCACACAGAAGCACAGCATGGCTAAATCAAACAACTAATATGTAAGGTGCTTGCACAGTATTGGATTAAAATATTTGGAGAACTGTGAAAAAGGATCTACTCAAGACAAACACAGCCTACTGGCCTTTTAGGAGATATCATTTTTTAAATCTTTTTTTACTGTTGAGGGAAAGAGATAAGTCAAACCCTACCAAACTAAGTTATTCTGGTAGCATGAAAAGAAATATTTTCCATTTCCCTATTCCATTCACACAGCAGCCACTTAAATGGGCCATTACCATTATCACTGACAGTGGGGCAGAGGAAGAAAATGAATATGCTATTCGTTTTCACCATCCCTGCAGAGTTAGCCATAAAATAGTCGTTGGTCCCTGAAACTTTTCCTACCACAAATAAGCAACATTTGATTCATGGTGCCATGTAAACATCTTCCATGATTTTATATACTTTCTTTTATTTGATCATCAGATTGTGTATTTTCCATGTTAAGTTCATCATCAAATTCCACAATTAAATGCAGAAATGTCATCTCATTTTTGGTACAGAGCCTCTGCTGTATATTTAATCATTACACCTCTCTCTGAACATTAAATGAGATTGAATAAGTGATGTCCTTAAAAAGTTCCCTGGATTACAGTGAGCATTCAAAACAAGACTGTTATCATTGTTACTATGGTTGTTGTTAATGTACTAACCAGTATATTAATTGTTAATTAAGTAATTCTTATTTTTAATATAATAATTACAGGTCCTCAGAGTATGGATTCTTTTTTAGGATGAGTTATAATATAAGAAATGATATTTATTATTTAGGTTCTTAAAAATATCTGCTTCTGCTGGGGATTTAGCTCAGCAGTTTGGTGGCCTGCCTCGCAAGGGCAAGGACCTGAGTTCGATCCCTGGTACCACCAAAAAAAAAAAAAAAAAAAAAAAATCTGCCTCTAAGCCAACCATAGTGGTGCATGTCCATAATTCTAGTACTCTGGGAGGCTGAGATAGGAGGTTTGAAAGTTTATACCCAGCCTGGACAACTTAGTAATTTTAGCAAAATTCAGTCTCAAAGTAAAAAACAAAAAAGGGCTGAGCATGTAGCTCAGTGCAATGGCACTGGTTTCAATCCCAAAACAAAAAAATCTTTTTATATTTTTCCTTAATAGAGACTGTCTTTCAGATGATTATTTTATAATAGGACTTATATATGTAAATACTGAGTAGTTTCTCTGGTGTGAAAAACTAAAAGTGTAAATAAGAATCAAAATGTATAATTGATATTGTGTAATAGGAAGAAAATGTCTAAAGGAGTAGGGAAAGTGGGAAGGGGAAAGGAAGGAAGGCAAAAGAAAAAAATGTGAGGAAAGGAAAAACATGGAAACGAAATCTTTGTGAATAGGAAAGGTTGGAGGGGGTGAAAGGAGGGCAGGAGAATGGGGAAAAATAATAACCAAGATACAGCATATAAAGATACAAAATCCTAAAGATAAATGTATTGTACACCTAAAATGTACCAATAAAGAAACTTAATGAAAAAAGATTATTTTATAAAGTAAAAGAATAATTATGAAAAACTAAGATGAAAAATACATTGGTTCCCTCTATGCTAATAACCAAAAGTTAAGCCTATTTAGGTAAATGGCCAAATAATAATTACCAGAGTGACATGAGACAAAAGTATCAAGCTATTTTTAACTCAATTTCTTCCAAATAGAAATTTGTTCCTCTAAACATGTTCATTACTAATTGACAAATCCCAAAGGTAACTTTAGCCTCAACAGCCTGATAGAAAGTTCTGTGCAGGAATATTTTTTAAATATTAAAATGTACATTTTAGATATACATAATCATCACATTCATCATAGGGATTTTGTACCCATATATAATATATCTTGATTCTTCTTTTTCCCCTTAATCACCTCCCATCCCTTCAACCTCTCTTCCACTCCTTGTTTATGAAAGCTTTCTTTCCATTAATCTATTTTTTTTCTTTTCCCATCCTTCCTCCCCCTGCTTTGTTCTCCTTCCCATTTGAACATTTTCTTCCTATTTCCCAATATCCATTATACATTTTGGTCAGCATATACCCTTTCAATTTCTCACACCAGAGAAACAATGTGATATTTAACCATGTGTATCCAATTCAACTCACTGAAGAGTAAGGTCTCAAGGTACATCCATTTAGCTAGAAATGTCTCAAGTTTATACTTCTTTTTGGCAGAGTAATACTCCATTGTATAAAAAACCCCAACATCTTTATCTATTCATCTATTAATAGGCGTTTGAGCTGTTTTCAAGATTTAGCTATTATAAACTGTGCTTCCGTAAACATGCATGTTCATATATAACTGTGGTATGATCTTTTTAATTCTTTCAAGAAGATACCCAAAAGAGGAATAGCTAGGTCAAATAGAATCTCTAGTTTTAGTTTTGAGGAAGCTACACATAGATCTCTACAGTGATTGCACCAGTCTACACTCCCACAAAAGTGGAGAAGGGTTCCTTTCTCCCCATACCCATGTCAGCATTTGTTATTGGTTGATTTCTTGATAATAGCCATTCTTTCTGGAGTGAGGTGGAATCTCAGCATTGTTTTAATTTCATCTCCCAGATGGCCAGTGATGTTGAAGATTTTTTCATATATTTATTTGCTGTTTGTACTACTTTATTTGAGAAGTGTCTATTCATTTCAGATGCCCACTTTTGAATTGGGTCTTTAAATTTGGGCAGTCTGATTTTTTGAGTTCTTTATATATTTTAGATATCAGTCTTTTGTCTGAGGAACAGCTGGCAAAAATTTTTTCCCACTCTGTAAGTTGTCTTTTCACTCTGTTGGTGGCTTTTGTTACTGTGCAAAAGCTTTTTAATAAGATGAAATCTCAGTTGTTGAGTCTCTGTAATATTTCCTATGTGATCTGGGTTTTTTTCATAAAATGTGCCTACATCTGTGTCCTCAAGACTCCTCCTTATTCTATCCCCCAGCAGATTGTTTATTTTTTTAATATTTATGTCTTTGATCCATTTCAATTCAAGTTTAGTGCATTTCAGAGATATGGGTCTAGGTTTGATCTTTGGCATGTGGAAAGCCAGTTTTCCCAGCACCATCTATTAAAAAAGCCTATCTTTCTTCTGTGAAGGTGTTTGAATGAGTGTGTTGAATGAGTTGTTTCTTCAACTTCTAATATGTTCCATTGATCATCAGGTCTAATTTTTTTCCATTTCCACACTGTGTTTATCATATAGTGTCATGTATTTGTAGTACAATTTTAAGTTGGGAATTGTGATGTCCCCTTCCTTGCCTTTGTTGCTCAGAATTGCTTTTGCTAGTCTAGGTCTCTTCTGGTTGTAAATTAATTTTAGGATTGTTTTCTCTAGTTCTGAGGGGTATGTTATTGATATTTTGATTGGAATTGCATTAAATCTGTATAACATTTTTGGAAGTATGGCCAGAGTCACTATATTGTTCCTGTTTATCCAAGAACAAGGGATATCTATCCATTTCCTTATAGTCTCTCTGATCTTTTTTCAGAACATTGTAATTTTCACTGCAAAGATCTTTTACTTCCTTTATTAGATTGATTCCTACGTATTTCATTTTTTATGCTATTGTAAAATTGTGGTTTCCCTAATTTCTCTCTCAGTAAATTTGTTATTTGTGTACAGGAATGCTATTGACTTTTGAGCACTGATTTTGTAAAGTCAATTAATTAAGCATAAACCCAAACACATTGCAATTCCAAGGTTTCTATGGGCATGGAGGAGTGGGAGGAAATTGTTAAAACATAAAATGTACTCATAAACATTGGCAAAAAGCATACACTTAGCAAAGATGAAATTCTGCTTGGCAAGGCAATATTGCCCAGTAAGGCATTAAAGGAGGAGGGTCATGGAGAATTGTGACAAGCCAACAACCTACAGTACTTATCTCTAAGGAGATAATATAACCAATGAATGCAGGGTTTTGAATATTTTATATATCTAGATAAAAGCCAATTAAAATATCTGGGCAGAAAAGCACTAGTATCTCTGATCTTGCCAGAAGGTATATTATCACTGACTACCAAGTTCCGATGAAGAATTTAGTATGTTTTTACTATATGTTTATTATCTTTCATTATCTCTGCTCATAGGGGCCAAACAAGCACCCAAGCCATCAGGCAGTGGTAGGAATGTTTCAGTAGATTCTACCCAATCCACAAGAAAACCAGGTAAGGAATACTGTAACCTAGGTCGTATGGCCCTCAACATGTCAGAACCACATTAACAGTATATACATGTTATGAGGAAAATATCCCAAATTTTTTATCTTTAGGGGAATGAAAGATGTCTGTGAACAAATTAAATGTTAACAAGAACTTCAGGTGGGGTACCAATTTAATAATTATTTTGTATGATGTTCTGTCACTATGGGTTCCAGTTTTTGTCACGTTTAAGCTTTACTGTTATGTGGTTTATTACACTATCCTTTTCCAGAAATGATTTATGTTCTTGATTTAAGAATATACCGTGTGAAATAGGTAAAATTATGAAGCTAGCAATTTTCAGGATACCTTTGGTTTTTCAAAGGATTTTGAAATATTCTCTTTTGCACTAATGTCTCTATCACCATTCTTCCCCTCTCCCTCCCGTTCCTCTGCCTTTCCCTTTCTCTCCTTCTTTGTCTCCCTGGTACCCCAAAAAGTCTTTAAAGCCATAAGGCATTTTGCTCTATTGACAATTATTCTTAAAATTTTAAAATCAACTTGAATAGTGCAAAGAAAGAAAACTTCTAAGTTATAACACAAGACTTAAAAGTTTGCCTTAAGCACCTTTAGCCCTGCCAACCTTTGTGCAAAGTAAACAACTTTAAAAGGTGCTTCTTCCCCCTGCTCTTTAGGCAGATGAGTTAGAAAAACAAATGTGAGCCTTTGGTAGCAGTTGTGCCAGGAGTCCTGCTGCAGTGCACAACAACCACAGTTGGCTTACAGGGACTCTCCTCTCCCGAGGCACATAATTATTGTTTCTGCCCTCAGGGCCACTTTGGTACAATCATTTGAGAGGTTCTGAAGGTGTTTGGTTAACTACACAATAATAAATTTAAGGGGTAGGGTTAAACAGTCACAAAAGAGAAATTTTATGCTCAACAATTCAAACTTTAAATGCAATGAAAAACATGGTCTCAAAATCAAAATCAATTGAGAATAATGAAGTTCACAAATGCTAACCTATACAAAATGTAAAATGTTAATTTCTATATATCTATACAGCCTTTCAAAAGGCAGATATACTTAGATTTGCAACTGTAATTATAGAATGTTTTACATATACTGATATGCTTCTCTGGTAAGATGATCAGCACTAATTTAGAAAAATATCAGCATATTTACTTATGTGTACTTTTGTACAAAATCTACTCTGTCATGAACTGCTACTTCTCAAAGGTTATTTTTTAAGGAAAACTGTGATTTTTGTACAGTGAATGTTTATGATGGACTTATCTGTAATATAACCTTTTAGCTACAGTTCCAAGGACTCACCGCCTACCTCTGCCACCTAGACCTGTGCCCCCACGAAGAAAACCTTTACCACCAAATAATGTCACCGGAAAGCCAGGAAGCTCAAGTACGTCCACTGTTTACTCCCCCCATTGTTTCGATTTTGTGAGCCATGATTTCTAATTTTTACACCCTTCTTGATGCACCAGATAAGCCACTGGTGTGTGTGATACATGCTTGTGTGGGCCCCAAAGATTGCACATTATAAATTATAACTTTGTGGACTATATTCTGACTCTGCATGGGTAGACAAAAGGAAACTATCCCTCTGCATCTAAGCTAGCTTGCTTCTTAGATATTTGCATGCTTAGAACCTAGATAGAAGATGACTCTAGCCTTTCAAGTGGATTCTACTGAAGGATGAGATAATATATATTTCAAAGCCTGCAGAGAAAATGGAAAATGTGATGCTCTGTCATTGATTTATAATTTTGTCTCCTGGAATGAAGTCCTATATGTTTCATTCAAAGTTTTCCTAGCCTTTATGCTAGTCCCAGCATTATGGTGCTTAGGGGAAGAGTTAGGACTAAACTATTGCGGTAACTAAGCAGGCCTAACCCGTGTAACCACACAGGCATGTCTAGAAGTCAAGCTGCTTCTCACCTCCATGCCTGGGCACAGACTGCTCCTACACATAGCATGAATCCTCTGGACCATGATTACTCACACATCTTCCCTCCTCTAGCTCCCCAGATGAGGTTTTTTTTTCTATGTGACCTTGATACATACCTCTGTTAGAGGAAAGAGCAAATTGTTTTATATCTCTCTGTATACTTGCCCTCCCCTCAGACCAAGCTGTCTTTTTTTTTTCCTTGTTGAGCTTATTGGTACATTTTAGGTATACAGTACAGTTACATGCATCATTGGGATCTTGTACCTTTACATGACAGGTCTTGGTTCTCATTTTTCCCCTTGTCCCTGCCCTTCCTTCACCCCTACTCCTCTCCCCCTTTACAAACACTTCATTTCCATTTTTTCATTTTCTCGTATTTTCCCCTTATTAGCTTTCCCCTATCCTTCCCACTTTCCCTACATCATTAGCCCCTTTCTTCCTATTTCACATTCTCTATTATATCATTATGATCTTATGTACTATTATAGTTTATTCACACCCGAGAAACTATTTGGTATTTACACATGTGTGACTTATTTCTTTCACTTAGGAGTATATCCTCGATATGTATCCATTTTCCTATAAATGAATCTAATTTCTCATTCGCTATGGCTGAGTAGTATTCCATTTTATAGAAAAACCACATCTTCTTTATCTGGATTACAACTGATGGGAAAATGGGCTGTTTCCAAGGTTTAGCTATTACAAACTGTGCCACTATAAACATAGGTGAGCATATGTCACTGTGGTATGATTCTTTTAATTCTTTTGGAAAGATACCCAGGAGAGGGATGGCTGGGTCAAATGAAACCTCTAGTCCCAGCTCTTTGAGGTATCTCCATATTGATTTCCATAATGGTTACACCAGTTCTGCACTCCCACCAACAATGGAAAGAAACCATCAACAGAAGTAGGAGACAACCTACAATGTGTGAAAAAATTTTTACCAGCTGCTCCTCAGACAAAGGACTACTATCTAGAATATATAAAGAGCTCAAAACAATCAGCCCCCCAAATATAAAGACCCAATTCAAAAATGGGCATCTGAAATGAACAGACATCTCTCAGACAAAGAAGTAAAAGCAGCAAGTAAATATAGGAAAAATGTTCCGAAATAACTGGTCATTTGAGAGATGCAGATGAAAACAACACTGAGATTCCACCTCACCCCACAAAAAATGGCTACTATCAAGAAATCAAACAATAACAAATATTGGCAGGGTTGTGGGGAGAAAGAGACCAACCTGTCTTAATCATCTTCTCATTGCCAAGACACAATACCCAACATCACAACTTTAAAAAGGAGAGGTTCACTGTGGTTCATGGCTGTAGTCTGTGGTTAGCTGCCTCCAGGGAAGAAACAGCATGGCAGAGGGGCATAGTGAGGGGAAGCTGCCCATGTAATGGCTGTCGGGAGGACAGGGGGGAGCAACAGAGACAGAGATGAGAAACCGGGGAAGGAGATATAGCCTTCCATGTCACATACCCAGAAATCCACCTCCAACCAGGCTCCACTTCCTAACAGTGTACATAACTACTGATCCCATAGGTACATTATGCCCATGACGCAACCACCTTCCTAAAGCCTCATCTCTGAACCCACAAGACTAGGGGCGGGGCACTCCAGACCTAAACTGCAACACAGGCTCTGTGATGATAGTTTTTGGTGTTTTTTCCTGAATTTCCAGTACTAAACCCAGCACTTAGCACATGGAGAATATTTGATAAGTAATGACTGGATGAATAAATGGATAGGATTAAGAGTCAGTGAAAAGTGATCTAGTTCAAAGCAAAACTCTACCATATTTTTATTAAGGGCTTTTTCTCCTGGAACTCTCCAACAAATTGCAACATGTTCCCTATTGTTTTTTCCTCTCCGCAAATCTCTACTTCCTAAATATTTGGTGAATGGAATCAGAATAAAAGTATAAAAGACAGTTGTAAAAGATAAAATTGATGTGAAGGATCATGGATATCACTCCTTTTTCAGGATGAAAAGAGGTCATAGTGATGGTGAATCTTTCGTAAAGTGTCATGAACTCTAGATCATTTTTCCCAATGTCTGGAGGAGGAATCAGCCTCTCATTCATGCATCTAGTGTCTTTCTGAGTGAAGGTCTACTGACACATTCTCATGAGGAGAACAGGTTTTACTGATTAACATGAGAGCCAGATGCTTTCAGATCTGGATGAGTCACAGACTGAAAGTAATGCCTGGATGTGTCCGTGGAAAACCCAAGGGACTGCCCTTGCAGAGTTCCTGTTAGGTCAGATGTCTTCAGCTGCAGTTCAGTGGCCTGCCATATGAAACCCTTATTCTTGCCTGTCAGTAAGTATAGTTTTCATACAACCTACCTAGCCTGAAGAAGAATCATAAAGACATTTCATTTCTGAGATCACTGTGGTCACTTCTCCCCGTAAACCATCACTCACCTCTAATGCAAAGGAAATTGCTGCATTGAGGAGCTGACAATAAACAAGGGTTGTAGTATAGATTGGGCCCAATTAACAACACAGAATATATATTCTGAATTTAGGAAAGTCACTAAATGTCTAGGAATGGTTGAGAGCACAGTCTTAGGCTTCTGTATGGAATCTGTTCCCTATCTTGTCCAACTTGTCCCCCATCCCCAGAGCTTCCTATCTCTGAGTCCCACTCTTCTTGCCAGGGTAAAAATTGCCAGTATTTGGCAAAGAAATAGGCCTGAGGATCAATGGAACAGACTGGAAGACACAAAAACAAATGCAGATGTACTCAGCTACCTCATCTTCGACAAAGGAGCTCACCATCCTCAGTGGAGGAAAGATAGCCTCTTTAATAAATGGTGTTGGAAAAACTGGATATCAACCTGTCACAGATTAAAATTAGACCCTTATCTTTCGCCATGCACTGAATTAAAATCCAAATGGATTAAAGATCTAAATATTAAAACAGAAACATTAAACTTGCTGGAAAGTAAGTTAGGCAGAACTCTGGAAGACATTGGTATAGGAAAAGACTTTATGAACAACTCCTCAGTAGCACGGGAACTAGCAGAAAGAATCAACAACTGGGATCTCATCTTACTAAAAAGCTTCTGTACTTCAAAAGAAACCATTAGCAGAACTAAGAGACAATCTACAATGTGGGAAAAAATTTTTATCAGCTGTACCTCAGACAAAGCACTATTATCAAGGATATATAAAGAACTCAAAACAATCAGTCCCCCCAAATATAAAGACCCGATCCAAAAATGGGCATCCGAAATGAACAGACATTTCTCATACAAAGAAGTGAAAGCAGCAAGAAAATATATGAAAAAATGTTCCACATCACTGGTCATTCGAGAGATGCAGATGAAAACAACACTGAGATTCCACCTCACCCCACAAAGAATGGCTGCTATCAAGAAATCACACAATAACAAATGTTGGCGGGGTTGTGGGGAGAAAGGAACCCTCCTCCATTGTTGGTGGGAGGGCAGACTAGTGCAACCACTATGGAAATCAATATGGAGATACCTCAAAGAGCTTGGACTGGAGGTTCCATTTGACCCAGCCATCCCTCTGTTGGGTATCTTTCCAAGAGAACTAAAAGAATCATATCACAGAGAAGTATGTGCACCCATGTTTATAGCGGCACAGTTTGTAATAGCTAAATCTTGGAAACAACCTACTTGCCCATCCGTTGGAAACTGGATAAAGAAGATGTGGTTTTTCTATAAAATGGAATATTACTCAGCCATAAAGAGCGAGAGAATAGATTCATTCATAGGAAAATGGGTACATATTGAAGATATACTCCTAAGTGAAATAAATAAGTCCCACATGTGTAAATACCAAATAGTTTCCCTGGTGTGAATATTCTGCAACAATGCATAAGATTCTAATAAGATTACTGACATTTAGAAACGGGAGGAAAGGAGCTAAAGGTGTAGGGAAGGTGTGATACGTAGGGGAAGAACAAAAAGGGAAAAGAAAAAAATGTGAGAGAATGAAAAGATGAAAATAAAGTGTTTGTAGATGGGGAGGGGAGGAGGGGGTGAAGGGAGGGCAGAGGTAAGGGGAAAAAATGAGAATCAAGACTTGCCATGTAAAGGTACATGATCCCAACAATGAATGTAACTGTACTGTATCCCTAAATGTACCAATAAACTCAAAAAAAAAAAAATTGCCAGTATTTCCTGCTGACCCTACCACCACTGAAAAGCTCATGCCAGCTGAAGCACCACTTCTTTTGGTTGCCCTCTTAGCTCCTTATAGTAAATCGTAAACTAAAATATTCTATAGGAGGAATGGAGTCTCAGTTCTATAGCTTCTATTTTTCTCAATTTTATGACTTATTTTCACTTGCCCTCTTATTGTGATGTAATCCCTCTAGAACCAACAGTATGAGTCTCTAAATGTAGACCAGAGTCCTGATTTGCCTGTGATTCCATGCTGGACTAATCTCTGTGGCCCTACAGCAACTGCAGGCTGGAATAAAACTCTTCATCTCTATCTGCTGATCACTTCTGCCCTTCTTGGGTCATCCTCTGTAAAGACATTCCTACCTGCCCTAACACCTTCTATCTTTGCCCATAGATGCAACCACTTGCTCTTCTTGCCCCTCTATGACTTATTTAATTATTTTGCAATGTCTATGGTGTGTCAATATCCATGACTCACCCATCTATCTCCATCGAGAACCAAGTTCTGTTTCTTCTCTAAGCCTGGCTAATAGTGCTAAACTACATAATAAGTGCTTAATAAACATTTATTATGTAAATAAATGGGAAACATGGCAATGCTCCTATAAAGACACTATTTTGGCTCTCTGTTGTTACAGGAATTATTTCATCACTAGTAACTTCCCCGCCACCTAGGGCAACACTCAAACCTACTGAAACCACCACAGAGAGGCAAGAAACAGACAGAAAACAACCAACAGCTCCTGCCTCTGGAGAAGAACTCGGTTAGTATGTTAGTCCATTCTCATTGGATGCTTTGCTGTGAGGAACTAAAATATTTTATAGGAGGAATAGTCTCTGTTCTGGATCTTCTCTTTTTCTCAATTTTATGATTAATCTGTGCCTTTTCATTTTAAATTTATATTTATTTTCAATGCTTTGATATAAAATATGCTCCGTTCCTTAGCAGACAGAAGAGTTAAATTTGTTTCCTAAAAAGATCTAGACTATCCATTACTACTATGGAATCATATGTCATCACATATCTTAATTTATTAATTGGATTAACAAGTTGTTGCAGTGTCTGATTCATGATTTATTACATTCCAGAGCATTTTATACTAAGGACACAATTAAAGGCTTTTTACTGTAGATGAATATGTATAATAATGATAAAGGAAAGTAAAACTACTGGCATTTAGGAAGAATATTAAATATCTTTAGTCCCTATTACAGTTTTGGTTGAGTCATGAAGCTTTCCTTATCCTTTACCAAAATTGTTCATAATCCTGCATTCTCAGGTAATACAACTGACTTTAGCTCAAGCCCAACAAGAGAAACTGATCATCTTGGGAAGCCCAGATTCAAAGGTATGTTTGGCTCCCAGTCTTGAATTTGACAAAGCTATTTTAAGTGGGTCAATCAGCCAGGCATTGCTATGTAATAACCAGCAAAACTTAGTAGCCTAGTATAAAGAAAATTTATTCTTTAGGTCTCTGAGAGGTTGCTGACCCAGGGTGTGCTTAGGCAGATGCTTCTGCTTCTAGAAGTATATATAACAGGTCTCTCTGGTGGGTTGGCCTCAGGTTCACCCCACATATGTTCAGCCCAGTGCCTGAAAGGAGAACCAACAGTGACCCAGGGAAGTCATTCTCATGAAAACACAAAGTAAAGACAGGTAACACTCAAATATACAGTCCTCTTTCAATTATCTTTTTATATTATATCTGCCAATATATATCAACTGAAAAGCCACTTAGTAAACCTCAAACCAAGGACTGAGGAAGTATACTTCTCCAATGGTCATAGAGTATTTATTTCTTGAAAAAACAATGTAGTATACCACAGTAGTAGAGAGCATTTCCCTTCATAATTTTTTTCTGAAGTCTAAAATTTGATGAATTGTAGCATATGTATTTACTCATGACCATCATCGTAAACAAGATAATACATGCACAAATTATAGATCTTTTGTAATGTACCTTTGTAATTCCTCTCTCTCAAGCCTACCAACTAGTCCCCAGTCTCCAGTAACCACAGATATGAACTACTATACATTTTTATATGCTTTATGGAATTGTATATAAATGAACACATACAGTATAAACTTCTGATTTCTTTTGCATAGCATAATTATTTAGCGATTCTTCCATATTGTTCTATGTACCAATAAATAATCCATTCCTTTTGTGGATCAGTATCCTATTATATGAATATATATTAACTTGTTTCATTATTAAACCTATTAATGACATTAAGGGTTTTTTAACATAACCAATAAAGTTGCTGTGACTATTCACATATAAGTCAGTATATAGACATATACCTAGGAAAGGAACGGTTACATTATAGTTAATTTATTCTAACATATTAAGAGACTGAAATTGTTTTCCAAAGCGACTGTACTGTTTTACCTTTCTGTCAACAGTCATGAGGGTTCTGGTTCCTCCATGTTCTGGTCAATGGTTATTAGAGTCAGTTTCAAAACATTAGTCATTTTAGATGTGCAATGGTATCCAATTACAGTTTTAACATGCCTCACCTAAGGACTATAGGCTCTGGACACCTTTTCCCATGAAACCATGAAATCTGTTTTTTTTTTTTTTTGGTTACATCTGAATTTTTGCCCACTTTTTAAATGGAATTGTTTATTTATTTATTGTTGAGTTTTAATAATACTCATATTTCCTAAGTACTTTTCACCCATATACTTTGCAGATATCTTCCCTAACATGTGTCTTCTGTTTTTATTTATTTATTTTTCACCAGGGACTGAATTCAGGACCTCGCACTTGCCAGGCAAGTGCTGTACTACTGAGCTAAATCCCTGGCCCCCTTCTTTTTAATTTTAATCAAGCTCAGTTTATCAGTTAGTTTTTTTTATAGAATTCAGTTTCTTTTAAAGTATAGCACTTGTCAGTGTTTTTTCCTTAGTGAGCTTTGCAATTTTGTGTCTTTCAAATGATTAGGGTAATGTCTTGTCAAATTTATCTACAGAAAGCTGTTCATGACATTCTGATTATTATAATATGTGTATTTTGTATCATATCTAAAAATTATTGATTAAATCAAAAGTCACAGTTTTTGCCTAGAAGTTTTATATTTTTGTATTTAAATTTATGGTGCATATTGAGTAAAATGTTGTATATGATACAAGGTTAATACATGTTCTTTTTCTTGCTTATGAATATCCAGTTGTCCTTCGATCACTTCTTGAAAAAATTATCCTTTTTCCACTGAATTACCTTTGCTAAAAATCAACTATCTACATATGTTGCTCTGTTTTGGGACTATCTGATCTGTTCTATTGATCTATTTATTTGCTGATATCACACTTTCTGGGCCTCTATGGTTCTTCTCATCTGGTAATGAGGTTGTATTATTCTCCTAACATTATTCTTATTTGTAAGAGTTGTTTTGATGATTCTGGGTCCTTTCTATTTCCATTTGATTTTAGAATCAGCTTGTACTACCTAAAAGGTAGTTTGGTTGGGTTTTATTTGGAATTGCATTGAATCTATAGATCACTTAGGAAGAACTCACAGCTGAGCAATATTCTTCTTACATATGAATGTTGTACACCCTGTCACTTATTAAGGTCATGTAAATTTCTCTCACCAAAGTCTTCTAGTTTTCAGTGTGTAGGAAATCATAAAAGTATTATTTTTTTCAATCTCAAGTGGTAGGTTGTTAATATGTAGAAAAATGATTGATTGTTGTATAGTCATCCTATATACTGGAACTTTGCAATGATTGTTAACTCCAGGGTCTTTTTTTTTAGACCAAATGGATTTTCTACATACAGAATTAAGTTATCTGAAAATAAAGTTTTACTCTTTCCTGTTCAGGTCAAGTGTCTTTTTTTTTTCCTTGCTTTATTGAACTGGCTAGGTCCTCTGGTAAAATATTATATAGAAATAGGGATAAGAGATATCCTTTCTTGGAATCTTACAGGAAAAGCACTCAGTCTTTAACTTTGTGTGGCTTATTGAATTTTCAGAGATGCTTTGATTGGAATGAGAAAGTTCTCTTTTATTAAGATAAGAATTTTTATTAGAAATTGATGCTAGATGGTACTTGATTAATGAGCTTTTATTGTGATTATTCTGATTTTTATTTTCTAGTTTGTGAGCATTATGAAGTAATTGATTTTTAAAAAATATTTAAATGAACTTTGCATGCTAGGGACAAATCCCATTTGGTCATAATGTACTCTCATTTTATGTAGTGTTGGATTTAATTTCCCAAGATTATTTTTAGAGCTGTGTTCATGAAGGATATTGCTGTGTAGTTTCCTTCTAATATGCAATCAAGTTTAATATCAAAATAATGCTGAACTTCCCTCTTCAATTTTCTGGAGTAATTTGTTTAGAAATGCTATTGCTTCTTTCCCAAATCTTTAGGGAATCTGAGTCTAACATTCTATTTGTGGGAAGGTTTTTATGTATAAATTTACTTTTTAAAAATAGGCATAGGGCTATTCAGAATATGTTTCCTTCCTTAGTAGTTTGTGTTTTTATAAGTCTTAGTCCATTTCATCTAAGATGTTAGATTCATTAGCATAAAGTTTTTTTATAATATTCCTCTATTATAATTTTGGTATCTTTAAAATCCATATTTATGTCACCTTCCTCATTCTTGATATTACTAAAATGTCTCTTTTCTGTCATAATGTGCTCTTTTGGTTCTTAAAATAGACATTACTCAAGAAGCATCCCAAACGTTTTGATATGATGTATTTTCTTTTTATTTGGTGCAAACTGCTTTTTACTCTTTCACTTGATTTCTTCTTTAACTCAGTTATTATTTAGAAATGTGATATTTAATTTCCAAGCATTTAGTAATTTTCTGGAGAATTATATTGCTCATTTCTAATTTAATTACAATGTAGTGTAAATCCTTAAATCCTTTTAAATTTGTTGAGATGTTTTTTTAGCCCAGAGAGTGGTGGTGGAACTATGGCTTGTGTGCCACAGTGGCCTGTTGATATAATTGAAAGTTCTAGAAGGCTTGCCATCACCGGCCTCGAATGTAGTGCATCTTGGCAAATGTTCTAAGTGAAAAAATAAGTATATTCCTCTATTCTTAAGTGGGATGTTGAATTAACTTGTCAGGGCTGCTATAACAAACATCACAGATTTGGTGCCTGAAATCATAGAAATTTATTTTCTCAAGTTCTGGAGGCTGGAAGTCTGAGATTGGAGGTTTCATTTCTCCTAAGGATTCACTTCTCAACTTTCAGGTTTTCATGTGGCCTTTTCTTTCTGCACATACATCCCTTGTGTCTCTTTCTTTTTGAATAAGGATATCAGTCATATTAGATTAGGGCCCCATCCCTATGACCTCATTTACTGTACAGTCACACTGGAGGTTAGTGCTTCAACATATGAATTTTAGAGTAATACAATTCAGTCCATATGAAGCATGCTATAAATGTTATCAGTTAGCTCAAATTGGATGGCTGTACTGTGCAGTTATGCTACATCCAGACTGTTCTTTTGGGTACTTGGTCTATCAAAAAGAGAATAAGAATTGCTTCTCAGATTTTTGGCTAAGATCAAGTGCAAAGAGAGTATAGAGAACAGTACTGAAATCTTTAACTGTGATTATGGATTTATTTCCACTTGCTGATCTGTCAATTTTTGCTTCACATATTTTAAATATGTATATTGAAGTACAGATATAAATTGTTTGATATTGTAAAAGAATTCCCCCAATTAATTGATCATTTTCATCATTATGAAGTGACCCTTTCTATAGCTATAATATTCTATGCTCTGAAATCTAATTTTTTGATATTAAATATCCAGTCAAATTTTATTTGATTAGTGTAAACTTTTTCCTCATCCTATTATATTAACTTTTTAGACCCTTTATAGTTAATGTCTATTTCTTATATGCATTGTCGAAATGTTTATTAATACTTATCAGTGAAGCCATCTGAGTCTCACATTCTCTTATCTCATTTTTTTCAAAATCAAATCTAACCATTTCAGAACTTTATTTGGTATGTATAGAACTTTACATTTAATGTTATCAGTATTGTTAGGTTTAAATCTTCAGCTTGCTTTTTTCTAGTTGGCTCATCTATTCTTTGTTCCTTCTTTTCCTCTCCTTCAACCTTCTTTTAGATCATTTTATGATTATGTTTTACGTTTTTTATTTTGTTTAGAATTTTATTCTTTTTGTAAAAATTGTATTTTGTCATTTTATTAGTTGTAATTCTTTGGTTTTTTTTTTGGTTATAGCTTTGAGGTGTATATTATGTATCTTTAACTTATCCTGATCTTCTAGTAATAATTAAAAACTTCACACATAAAAACATTATACTCATGTAGCTTCTTTTGTACCCTCCTGGCCTGTGGGCTACTACTGTCATACTTTATAGTCTTACATGTTATATAAATTATAATAAATTATTTTTATTTTTTAACAGCAAATTATCTTTTACAGACTTAAATATTGAGAAAATGTTGTATATATGTATCAGTGCTGTTACTGTTACTGTTTGTACCTCTGGATTCTTATTTTCATTAGGTATAATTTTTACCTTCAACCTGAAAAACTTTATTTAATATGTCTCACAGTGTGAGTCTACTAATAACAAATTCTTACAGGTTTTATTTTTCTTAAAGTATTTTGCTTTTGCTTCTTTTTAAGACATTTTCACTAGTTATTGGATTCTACATGACAGGTTTTACTTGCCATACCTGAAGATGTTGCTCCATCGTCTTCCACTTTCATTCTTTCCAGTGAAATAGCCACTACAATCCTTATCTTTGTCATTCTATAGATAACATCTTTGGGGGGGCAGTCCTCCAGGATATATTTTCTCTTTTTCACTGGTTTTGAGAAACTTGATTTGATTAGCATAATTCTCTTTATGTTTGTTGTGTGTCAGTTTCCTTGAGCTTTTTGGATTAATATATTTATAAGTTTTATTATATTTGGAAAATTTGGGGCTGTTATTCTTTTTTTCTTTCTACTTCCCTCTTGTCTACCTTAGGTACTTCATTTATGTGTATATAAGATCATTTGAAGTTGTCTCATAGCTCAATGTTCTTTATTTCAATTTCTTTTTTTTTTGTGCCCATTATTTTTATTTTCGGTAGTTTTTATTGGTATATTTTCAAGTTTGCTATCTTTTATTTTGTAATATTTTATGTGCATTAATTATTTCCAATGTATTTTGCATCCTATATTTATAGTTTTCATTTCTAGAAATTTGATTTTGAGTCTTTTTATATCTGCCCTGTCTTAACTTTTTGAACATGTAGCTTATATGGATAACTGTTGATTATTCTTGTCTGGTGAGTCTAACATCTATAGAAGTTCTAAATTGGTTTCATATGGCTGACTTTTCTCTGCATTATGGGTAATGTATTTTTGTGAATTTCACCTTGGTGAGTACTGGATATATGTATATTTTTTAATCCCTAAAATATTCTTGAATTTTGTTCATAGGTACACTTAAATTACTTTGTCCTTTTGAGTTTAACTTTTAAGATTTGTTAGGTGAGACCAGAGCTGTATTTAGTATAGGGTTCATTCTTCCCTACCACTCAATATCCCAGGGATAATATGAGTAAGCCAAGCCAAATTATAGAGACCAAATTATTTTTTAAATATTAATATAAGATAAAACTATTTAGTAAGTAATTCAACAATGTCTATATCATATATTCCAAATATAGGATTTTGGATTTTTTTACAAGTTTGAACCATCCATAGCACTGCTTCCAAGCATCTGCCTATGAGACTGGATGTCCTTACAGAGATACTTATATTTATGAGTTTTATCTTTACAAATTTCAAAAATGGTGAACTTCAGTCTTCTTTCTCTTAGGTCCTCATGTGAGATACATCCCAAAGCCTGACAACAGGCCCTGCTCCATCACAGACTCCATCAAACGCTTCCCCACAGAGGAAGCCATGGAGGGGAATGCCACCAGCCCACCACAGAACCCTCCCACCAACCTCACTGTGGTCACTGTGGAAGGGTGCCCCTCGTTTGTCATCTTGGACTGGGAAAAGCCATTAAATGACACTGTCACTGGTAAGATTATGGATATTGGAAGAATAGATGTAACTCCTAAACCTGCTAGATATCCGTAACACGAGTTCGTGTTCTCTAAAATTGAAGAATGAATTCTAGGAACAATAGAAGTTAAGAAAATTTATTAAGAGAAAGATAGCTGCTTTCTAAGCGAGACAGAAGTGGGACCAGAAAATGGGTTGCCTGCCCACACTGCTTAGATGTGTTTTATACTGCAAAGCCATGAGGTGAGGTGGATGCAAAATGGGACAAAACTGTAAGACCCAATGGAAAATGGCAAGGTGGGCATAAGGTGGGACAAAACCATGACCAACCATTAAGATTACAAGTATAGGGCTGGGGATTTAGCTCAGCGGTTTGGTGGCCTGCCTTGCAAGCGTAAAGACCCAAGTTCAATCCCTGGTACCAAAAAAAAAAAAAAAAAAAGATTACAAGTATAGTCACCCAGGTAATATTGATTAAATGGGGATCAAATGGGAAAAACGAGTCACATACAAGGAATTTAGCATTTAGAACATCAATCACTGCTATCTATCTCTAGGGGAAGTAATAAGTCATTTCTTTTTTACAGTGCTAACCAGTGAATGTGTCTCACTTGTTCTCCATGTTGGCTCTTCCCTGTGTTGGCCTCTTGAGGGTAGCCCTGTCTAACTGCCTACAAGATGTCTAATTATGGCATGAGGGACTTGTTGCTATGATGGGAAGCTTAGATAACATGATGATGCTTTGAGAGTGAGATACATAACCTGTGAGGCTTCCCTGACAAGGGAGTCCTAGAAGTGTCCTGCTGTTTTATGGCTCATTGTTCCTAAGTGTCACAGATTGCAAAAAGTTTATCTTTGTGCTTGTCATGGGGCCTCCTTTTAATTTAGCAGATCACTTTAACCTATTCCTTCCATCTTCTCTCAAAAATCCTTTGCAGAGTTTGAAGATATAGCTTGTCTTCTCATTATCAAGAAAATTTCAGACAATATATAGGGAGTTGCCATTTCTGATGATATTTATATTAGTTTTCCTTTAACCAACCCAACTTCTAAATTGACCCAGAACTTTCAGGCAAGCTAAAAGTTATTTCACCTGTTGTCAGAAAAGAAAAAAAATTTAAATCCACTCCTGGGAAATTTTCTGCTCATCTAAGAAATTTTTGATTCTTACTATCCCTCCAAATTTCTAAAAAGGATTGTAAAGAATAAGAAACCATGAGTTATTCTTTGTATTTGTTATGTGCCAGTTTAGTCATCCATAATGAACAGGATAGTGAAACAAGAGAAGCAGAAATAAAAAACTATCAGCTTAAATCAGGCTAGTCCTTGGATAGCCTGAGCTCATGAGGTTCCTGTTACCAGGTCCTTGCCATGTGCCTGGTGCAGGGAATAGAAGAGCTAAGGAAGATGCTGTCAGGAGTAAGAGAGGAGTGAGGAGCAGTATAAGGTGAGGTGGAAGAATTCAGAATCTTCCAGAAATATTTTCTGCAATTAATAAAGGGGAAAACAGCAGATGTAGGCAACTTTTACTTAAGCAGCAGATCTTTGCTTAATTGGCTTTCTTTGCCATATTTTATAAACTTCCCTTTCTTATGCAAAGTAGCCTGTGTTCTGAGAAAGAACCCACTTGGTTCCCGTGTTACCAGAGATCTGCCTAGTTCTGCTTCTTTATTTGGGACTATGCCAGTTTACCATCCCTCAAAAATCAATCCATATTGGTTATCTGTGGTGTATTAAAAGACCCAAAACTTATGATCCTTATACTTCAGTAATAAGGAGTTCCTATGCTAGTCTGAGGCTTAGTTTCATTAAGCCAAAAAAAACTTATAAAATTTCTTTTTCCCTAAAGATGCTGGGGTTGGTTAATCTAATACCTCTAATATATATATATATAT